GGTTCAATTCTCTGCAGTGAAGTCAGCAGATAGCCCAGTGTGGCTTCGCTCTATAAGAGACATTTTTCTTGTAGCTGATGAATGTATCAAAACATGCATTTCAAAAAGTTTTTCATAATTTTTAATTGTTCAAAAATAAAAATTATTTTACGTAGCTGTAGGTGAATCACAATCTCAAGTTTTCAGTCAACAGCATCAACACTAAACATACAGGTTCTCTTAAATGCTAAGAGCCGGTCGGTTAGACTGAGGATGCAAAATTTTGGGATTCAAGACTTGATGTCGTTGTACATGCTCTGTATTCTTTGTTGTGAGTGCGTCATAAAAGTGACAGTCAGTCTTATCCGGTTCAAAGATCCGGACAAATGTTTGCGAAGCAAGAGTTTCTGGCTGGCTGCTCTTCCTTTGGTCAGTAACTGTACTTCCAATTCTAGGGGGTCTTTGACCTGGCCGTTTAGTCCGTATACCTTACGAGTTGAAATTCCAGTTGTTGAAACGACAAATAAAAATATAATAAAAAAACAATTAAACCATTTTAGAATTTTTTTTTTCCAATGCTACGCGAAAAAGATATAATGTTGAGGAAATACTGCACTCTTGTGAAGTTTTTTCAAAGTGTACAATCTTGGTATTTTAAGCAAAACCTTGTATATGCTACTTTACCTTTTACAAACAAATAAATACGGCACATCTGAGAATAGTGGGATACCTCTTTAATACTAACCAGAAGAAAAAAAAAGTCAAATATTCTAATTTTCGCTGGTAAAAAGGGAGAAAGTATGAAAATTTTAAACAGTTAAATCATCTACTTGAAAAAGTTAAACATACTTTTCTTTATCATATCTTGTAAATAAGGCCATAACCTTAGGCCCTCAGTAGCTTGCCATAAAATAGAAAGGCTACAGCTATCCCTAATTTTTCCAGTACTGACTAGATGGAAAGCAGCAGCTAGTCAGTAACAATACACTAAGAGACTGACTGTCACTTATAAAGCACACACATATTATAGCCGTGGTATTGCATGGATTCAAACCTCAGTCGCCAACTCTGAAATCCAAGGCTCTACCACAAGACCAACCACACGCCCGGCATGGCCAGGTGGTTAGGGCGCTCGACTCGCAATCTGAGGGTCGCGAATTTGAATCCCCGTCACACCAAACATGCTCGCCCTTTCAGCCTTGGGGACGTTATAATGTGACGGTCAATCCCACTATTCGGTGGTAAAAGAGTGGTGATGACTAGCTGCCTTCCCCCTAGTCTTACACTGCTAAATTAGGGACGGCTAGCGCAGATAGCCCTCGTGTAGCTTTGCGCGAAATTCAAAACAAAACAAACCAACCACACTAGAGTTCGAAACAAAAGGAAAAATGTTTTAAATTGCAAAAAAGTTCACAGTTTTAAACTAAACCACGTGTTTTCTTTTGCTGTTTTGTATGTGTGTGTGTGTGAAATAACAAACATGGATAATAATTGTAAGGATCAACAGTGAAACAATTACTTTCTCATACAATGTAATGATCTTTTAATTGTTGCACGTTATTTTTTCGTTGTTTTCTAAATAACAAACATGGATAATAATTGTAAGGATCAACAGTGAAACAATTACTTTCTCATACAATGTAATGATCTTTTAATTGTTGTACGTTATTTCTTTCGTTGTTTTCTAAATAACAAACATGGATAATAATTGTAAGGATCAACAGTGAAACAATTACTTTCTCATACAATGTAAAGATCTTTTAATTGCTGTACGTTATTTCTTTCGTTGTTTTCTAAATAACAAACAT